ATTCAGATGAATTTCATCTTTCATTTTCATGATGCTGGGAATTCTAGGGAATAAACGCCGGGAGTTTTTAACACTCACCTCAGAATCACACCAGGTGTTACGAAACTGTGATTTAACACCGTTCATTGAAAACACATTGATAAAATCACTGTGCAACTGTTTCAAAACTTCTCATTTATTAAAAACTCATTTGAGATCATTAGCAGTTAAAGTGGTGAAAGTCCAGTTATGAAAGTGACTAAACACAAAAGGAAATTCATGAAACAGATGTTTCCTTACAGCCACAGTTGAAGACAGGCAAAATGTGCTAACGATAAAACCAAATTCATTATTTTTCAACAAAATAAACCATCTGAATAATACTAATAATAATAATGTGTCATAGGTGGTTTATCACTTGCAAGTTGAAAAGCTTACATCTGATCTCTCATTAAATTAATTTTATAAAACTAATTACATTTCACCTCAATAATTTGTATAATGGGGAGTTTGTTGACTAACAATAACACAATGCATGAACAATAGTAATTTACAACTGTAACGGTGGTACTTGACTTAATAAACGGCTCTTAATTATTGTTGTTGTTGATGATTCATAGGCACGTTGACTTTACAATTTCTATAATCCAAAATACATTCTTTCGCTCTTTGTCATTATCTTCACATATAAAAGGCCATGTACAGTTAAGTTGGACCCAAACAAAATCTCAAAAATAAAGCCTCCTCCTCAAGTTAAAGTGCTTTTAGTATTGTTAACCAACATTGTTTATTCCAGTGACAAAAGATCAACTATGGAGAAAAAAAACTAGATCTTTACCCAAAATAGCTCTATACTGGCACTGTTAGACACAAATATAGATACAAATCACATCCAATGCAGTCTCTCAATGAGACACGCACAAGTTGCTCACTCGAAATGTTGTACCTTTGCTCTATCATTAACTACAGTACAGTGGTTTAAATATTGTCATTTCTTCCAGTCAATGACAAGCAACCCTCCAGTACACTGTAGTCCATAATCCTTCTGCAAAAATAGATTGATATCCATGTGTTTATAAAATCAGGTATTGTCCATCAGAGTTTACAGAATAGTTGTTCTTCTCAAAGTGTCTCAAATCTGTGGCACTGCTTTTCTTGGCCACAAGGTGGTGAAGTAGTCCTTCCTAGGTCATGAATAAAGCAGCAGATCTATGTTGAATCATCATTTGATTCCACATGGTCTAATAGTTTAGTAGTTTACAGTATTTCTCATTTACAGACTCCAACTATATCCGGAATGGAACACTAGCATACTAACATATGTAGCATACTATTTTTTTTTTTTAAGTATCATGTGAAACAATGTGCATTATGCAGTGAGAAGAGTTTCAAATAGTCGCATGCGACATTGCTGTCATTTGTTAACTGAACAAATTATTAGCAAAAAAATTCATGTGCATTATTTTGCAGTTGTAATCGCATTTTAATACAACTTTTGGCAGCCCAATAAAGAAATATAGGGAACTGTGATGGAGCCGTTTGAGCTCTTTTATCATTAGTCATATTTCAGAAGACTCTTTGCTTCACATGGCATTAAGTGCAATGCTGTACCGGGTGAGCTATCGAGCACGTTTACTATGTCAGAAAAGTCATACATATAGAGCTGATTATGTGATTATTATGTGCGAACGTCAAAATGTATTACTTGTTATCCTAATCTGTGTGAATGGGAATGCAAGCTGTTGGTGCTTTACCGCCACAGTGCTCATTGCAACTATAAACTGCAGTGAGTTGCATGTTTTTGGAGTTTTCCAAAAATATAGGTCAAGGCATGTTTTTCCAATAATTTTGCCATGGTAGATCATAGGGCTGTTGCGATTCGTAGATTTTATTTGATTTTTAAAAATCCTCGACTTAATTTTGCTTGCGTCAACTAACCGGCAAAATACCGGAAGTGGCACATTTCACGGACGAGAA